ACTCGCCGGAACTGCAGCGGGACCTTCCTCCAAGATCAGTTACGTTCGACACCTGCATGTGGACGACTACCAGGACATCGTTTGCCATGCTCCGGAGCAAGCAGCCGGGAGCTCCCTGGCCTCCATGGACAGCCAGCTGGTGTATCGCTGAGACAGCCTCCGTGCTCGTCATCACCAATCACCGTGATGCTGGGCTGTCATCGGGGCGCCGGTCAAAAGCCGAGTGCAACAGCAAGAAGAACGTGGCAAACTGTGACTGAGGACGACTAAGAGAGACCAGAGAAATGAATTTGACTTTCTTAGTTTGACCTGGGCTCGCTCCTCTGCTCCTCTGTGGAGGTGGATTATCCCACACTTCTCCATTCTTATGCCTAGTAAAGGAGCATCCCCGAGGACCCCATTCCCCTTAAATATTTGAATCCCCTTTACAGGCTTTCTTTTGCTTCACTTAAAGGTCCATGTTTTTCCGGTGTTATTACCCGTCCCTTGTTGTGTTATGAAGTTTTATGCATGTAAACGGTCTGCAGAGTCAAAATCCCTCAAAAGTACACCCTGTAACGGAGTAAAACTCTAAACACAGAAAAAATACCTGTCTATGCTGCCCCAGAACGCCTCCGTTGGAGGATTTCTCTTGTTCTCCTGGGTACAGTGACGTGGTCATACCCAAATGGACCCATTGGGTCCAAATGGATCAATCCGTGGAGCCGTTACGTTACGTCCGCGGAGCCGTTAGGTCGGCGGACTTCCTTCACCCCTAGATTCCACCGGTTCCGTCTGCAGCATGTTACGGCTGCCCATGGTTTTGGTCCGGCTGCCCGCGGGTTTTGGTCCGGCCTCCTTCCGGCGGTCCATACCCTACCGGGTGCGTTTCAGAAGCATTTTCAGAAGCAGAGCGTCTTACCTGCGGCTCGCAACTTTTGTTGATTTGGGCATTTTTTGGTGGGAAATAGCACCCATTGGACTAAGAGTGGCCGCGATCCTTGCGGACGCCACGGCGCAGCCGTAACACGGCCGTAACGCGTTCGCACACGGGACCCGGTGGAATCCGTCTTGTGGCGCGTTACGGCCGCATTACGGCATGAAGTGGAACGTTCAGAGCATAGCATATATATATATATATATACAAACTAATTTTGCAGGACCCCTATCCCTCCGTTAAGTCTTTCCAAGTAGGAGGAGAATGCAAGTGTTCCACTTTATATTATATATAATTATATATATAGAATAATTATGATGATGAATGCATTTTTTAACCACTAAAATAACAGCAACACATCCTTGATTTCATGTTGTTTATAACTGGAATATTATTAATTATTAATTAACTTTGTCTGTACACAAAGTACAAATGTCCAGGAAATATGCCCAAATCAACAAGAACTGCGAGCCGGCATGCACGACGCTCCGCTTCCGTAATGCTTCTGAAACGTTCGTGAAACGCGCCCGGTAGGGTATGACGCCAGAGGAGGCCGGACCAAAACCGCGGCGCAGCTGTAACGAGCCGCAGGCGGACCCGGTGGAATCTAGGGGAGACGGCGGGACGCGGCGAGGCTGTGAGTCGGTGTGTGAGCACACACACAAACTCCCAGCCAGGCTACGGGTGTGTGTATGTGTGTTCGGGCTGGGTTTTGCTGTCTCGCAGACAGCCACTGGGCTCATAGGGAGGGGGGGCAGGAGCTCCAACAAGCCGTTTAGGACAGAGAGTGAATACACATACTATACAGAGATGCTGTATGAGAAACCAATGTGAGTTTGGAAAATTGCACAATATAAATCTATTTTAGTATACCTCAACAATAGAATTATGATCAGTAGAAATGGCCATGACATGAGACCTTTAATGTCTGGTATGCCAACATCTGTAGCAGAATGGGAGAATCTTAAAATGTACCAGGGTTTATGCATAAAAAGTCAAAGGTATGACCTTTATTAGATTATTTTCATACGTTTAAAAAGCAGATGGCAAATTCTAACTGCTAACATCGACAACACTTATTAACTATACTTTGACTGTTAGATAGCTTAACTTGACAGTGTTCATTTGTTTTAACTCATGGGACTATTGTATCAATACAGAATGATTGAAAATGTACGGGAACAAAGCGTAATAGAATAATTAGTGTGAATAACCCAGTAAAATGTGCATTACTGGACAGTATTCATTTAAGTTCAAACACAATCCTGTGTTTTTGAGACGTCTGAAAAGTCTACAATATCAAGTCTTTATGTATTTCTATGTTATCAATGGAATGAAAAGGATGTACAGTATTTATGTGACGGATATTTCACAAATAAACTTCGAACATTCAGAAAAGGTAACCATTAAAGTTATAAAAATATATGTCATACTGAACTTATTATTTTTTTACGATGATTATGATTCACTATACTATATACTTTTTCTGATATTTTTTTATAGTATGTCGAAAAATATGCAAAAATACACAGTATATATAGTATGTCGAATTCTTCGGAAAAAAAGACATAGTATAATATGTCGAAAATATGCAAAAAAACAGCATAGTTAGAATGTCGAATTTTGAAGAAAAAACGACATAGTATATCGAAAATATATTAAAAACAACATCGTGTAGTATGTCAAAAATATGCCACAATACAAAGTGTAGTATTTTTTAAATTTCAGAAAAATCAATATAGGAAAGTAGGTCTAAAAATATGGAAAAATGACATACTATGTTTTTTCCCTGATATTTCCAACATACTATACTATGTTGTTGTTTCTGAAATTCTTTAAAAACATTTTGATAACTATAGGTTACTTACGTAACCCCAGTTCTCAGAGTAACATGAAGTGAGATGTCTCACTATGGGATGCGCCTCAACGCGTATGCAAACAGAAGCATCAATCTGATTACGCCAATCCTGATTGGCTGTTGATCTTGACGTCTACGTCAGGGAATCCACCCACCCTATAAGTAGCTTGCGCTACGACGCAGCGTCATTCAAAATAAGCACCTCTTCTCGTTTCGCCTTAGCAAGAAGGGCCGTCTGGTGAGACATCTCACTTCATGTTACTCTGAGAACTGGGGTTACGTAAGTAACCTATAGTTCTCATTCATAACACTCCGTTCGATGTCTCACTATGGGATATTGAAACTCCCGTATTGCTAGACATGCTTATCTCGAAAATCACCAAAACAACCAGAACTTAACAGGTAGAGCCCTGTCTCAACACGGGGCCCAGCACTGTGCGGGCCACACTTGGAGCAGAGACATCTAGCCTGTAAAAGCGGACAAAAGTGAGCGGTGAGGACCAGCTCTCTGCTGCACAAATGTCTTGGATGGAAACACCCTTGAACAAAGCCCAGGATGTAGCCAGTCCACGAGTAGAATGAGCACGCAGGCCCGTTGGTGCCTGCAAACCCTGACTCGTATAAGCCAGAGCAATCGCTTCCACAATCCAGTGGGAGAGCCGTTGCCTGGTAACGGGCTTGCCCTTCTGAGGGTTAGCCCAGGATATAAAGAGTTGGTCATTGCAACGAAACTCTTTTGACCTGTCCATATAGGTGCGTAAAGCACGAACTGGACACAGCAAATTCGGCCGCTGTTCCTCAGAGGAACACAGCGGCGGAGGAAATGTCACAATGTCAATGGGGGTACATGAGCCAACCACCTTAGGTATAAAGGCAGGGTTGGGCTTCAGCAACACCCTCGTTTGCCCCGGGGCAAACTGAGTGCATGAAGGATGTACAGAGAGCGCATGAATGTCACTGACTCGCTTGGCAGATGCCAGAGCCAGTAACAGCACTGTCTTCAGTGACAGGCTTCTTCCAGGGGTTCAAATGGAGGTCGAGTGAGCCCATCTAAAACCACTGCCAAGTCCCATAAGGGCACCAGTGACCTAGAAACAGGGAGGAGCCTGCGAGCCCCTTTCATAAAACGGCAGACCAAAGGATGTTGGCTAGCCGTCTTTCCCTCAAAGCCCACATGGCATGCAGCAATAGCAGCCAGGTACCCACGTGAAGTTTCCCTGTGTAGAGGAAAAAGTAAGGACAGGCCCCACTTAAAGTAGATGCTGGATACCTGTTGTCTCGAAATAGA